GGGGATTCATTCACAAACGAATCGCTCCCTCCGTCAGTATGAGAAGTGAAAGCAGGAGAGGAGCTGTGTTTCAGGACATGATCAGATCAAATTTAACAGGGAGGGTGAATAGTACATTTCTGTACACACAAACACAAGCTTTTTGTCAGGAATGCCCGTGCGGTCACTGATCCATCAATGTAGAAGAGTGATGTAAAATTATAATTTACGTAATTAGAAAAAAAAATTACATACTAACATCCAGGAAAACTCCCGATCACAGATATATGTGTATATGTGTATATCTCTGGCTTTGGATGGCCACAGTCCTCCACTGTACATTGGTCCCGCATTCATTTCAAAGGAGCGCTACCCTGTAGCAAGATGGCGGCGCTATTGACGCATTCTGTCCAATAGACAACAATAGGCCAGGCGACATCTAATGTATATATCTATGGTAGACTTCCAGTGTTTTTCTCTCATTGTTTTATATCTGAAAACAAACAGGAAGTGCATTTTCAGATTTCTATCAAAGATTACAAGGGCAAACCATTGTTTATTTTGTTTAAATGACATGCACAGATGAATTGTTCACCACAAAACTAGCAATGTGAGCTAACACAATTAATAAGGCTAGTTTTGAGTTCATGTGTACTTTAAGCACTGAGTGTAAACAAACCCTATCGAAATGACTTCAGCCATTCTAATATTAAAGACATATTTGCATTCATTTTCCTTTCAGCTTAGTCCCTTTATTAATCAGGGGTTGCCACAGTGGAATGAACCACCAACTTATCCAGCATATGTTTTACGCAGCAGATGCCCTTCCAGCTGTTTGGGAAAACCGGAGCACCTGGAGGAAATCCACGCCAACACAGGGAGAACATGCAAACTCCACACACAAACACCAACTGACCCAGCCGAGGCTTGAACTAGTGACCTTCTTGCTGTGAGGCGATCGTGCTACTCACAAGGCCACCGTGACACCCTATTTGCATACATTTAAAACACATTTCTTCCCAGTGATTGGTTGCAGCTGGAAGGGCATCCGCTGCGTAAAACATAGGTTGGCGGTTCATTCCGCTGTGGCGACCCCTGATTAATAAAGGGACTAAGCTTAAGGGAAATTAATGAATGAATAAAACACATTTCAGGGTTGTCATTTAGGAGTGTTTTCTTCCAGGACAGACTGACTGTCAGAGGAATCTGTGTTGTTATGCTAATGTTGGTGTTTTGGGGATCTGCAGTTTTTCCCTCAGCGCTCCTCCGTCATGAATTGTCCATTTTCAGTTATCATGGTACCGGTGCTGTGTGCCTGTCAAGTACAGTACTATGATAACTGAAGATTGACGGTGCCAAACATCAGTGGAGTCTTCATCCATGCTGAAAACAGCTACAAAAACTGCTCCCTCCTTCTGCTTCAGCAGAGTTGTTTTAGTTTCATTTAGAAGCTGTTATAGTTTTATTAATAGTTAGAATTTTTATATATTTTTGTCTACATTTTAGTAGGTGTTTGTTTTTTTTTTCAGTTTTCCTTATACTGTATACAATAATAATTTTCTTACAGTTATAATTCAGTAAAATAAATTTGTTTTATTTTTATATTTGTCAATTTGTATTTTTTCATTAATATTTAGAATTTTTTTATTTTTTCTTTACATTTCTGTCAAAGATTTGATCATTTTAATGTGTGTTTTTTTGTCTTTCTTAAATGTAATTATTATTTCAGTTTTAGATATATCAAGTTAAATTAAAAGAAAACATCTTATTTTTTAGCTAGATTAAATATATTTGTTTTATCTTTATTTTTGTCGATTTATATTTTTTATTAATAGTGTGATTTTTATTTTAGTTTTTTTTATTTTAGTCAAAGATTTGATCATTTTAGTGTGTTTTTTATATTTAGTTATAGTTTTCTTAAAATAGTTGTTATATTTATTTCAGTTTTTTTAAATATATCAAGTAAATTAAAAGGAAATATCGGTGTGTTTTTCTTATAATTATAATTTTATTAAATATAGTTTTATATTTTTTATTTCTGTTTGTTTTAAATACATCAAGTTAAATTAAAAGAAAATGTCTTCTTTTTCAGCTAGATTAAATATATTGGTTTTATTTTTATATTTGTCAATTTATATTTATTTCATTAATATTTGAATTTGTATATTTTTTGTTTAAATGTTAGCTATAGATATGATCATTTTAGTCAGTTTTTCTTATAAATAATTAAAAATTATAAAGTATAGTTTTTGTATTTTTAATTTGTGTTTATTTTGTATATTAAATATATTTGTGTTATTTTTATATTTGACATTTATTTAACATGATTAAAAAAGTTTTATATTTTTATTTTAGGCAAACATGATACAGTGATTTAGTTTTTTGTTTTTATTAAATTTATAATTGTTATTCTGTATATTTAGTCACACGACATCCTGTCAGAAGTGTTTAACGTTTAAGTGTTCAGCGGTTTGCCTGATAGTATGAAAACATTTATTTTAATTTAGCAATTTTTAATTATTAGCCTAATATTTTAATTATTATTTTAATTATAATTAGTATTATTTTCGATCAACTTACAAGGCTGTGGGATTTAGATTGAAACACCTTTCTCCTAAAAATGTAATAAATCCAATAAATTAAATTTGACAATTAGAAATAAAGAAACGATAATAACAATTTTGTGTAATATATTTCAGTAATCTTTCATGCACAGCTTAAAAATATATATTTTAAAGAGTATTTTCATGTAGTTTCGTGAGAAATATTTATCTAATTTTATACTGTACTGAGCTTAAAACATGACTGAAAATAATCATTAATTATGTTCCCAAATCACGGTTGAAATCAAAAGGTCTCACCTGTGCCTTTACATATCAGGTCGTGCTCTTCCCTTGGTGCTTTTAAGTCTCATTTTAAAAAGCACCTTCTGTCTCTTGCTTTTGATTGCAAATAATTAATTTTAATCTGTTTTACATATAAGTATATGTGACCCCACCGGTCCTACACCACCCAACCCGCTCTGAGCGGGTATCGAACCGGCAACCTTTCGTATGGAAGTCGGTTGCTCTAACAAGGAGGCTAAAGACCATGGCCTCTAATGTCTGTTGCTAGAGCACCTTTAGAGGTCAGAGGAGTGAGGTTTACCCACACAGCACTTACTAGCTGTCCTCCGTTACACTCACTCCCCTAAACCTCACTCCCATTCGGGTCACGGCACCAATATAACCCTCCCATTCCTACTCTACCCAACCCGCTCTGAGCTGGGATCAAACCCGGGACCTTCCACATGAGAGTCGGTTGCTCTACCAAGGAGGCTAAAGACGATGGCCTCTAACATCTGTCGCTAGAGCACCTTTAGAGGTCAGAGGAGTGAGTTTACCTGCACAGCGCTTCAATAGCTGGCCTCCGATACACTCAACCCCCTAAACCTCACTCCCACACGGGTCACGGCACCAATATAACCCTGCCTGCCTACTCCACCCAATCCGCTCCGAGCTGGGATCGAACCGGTGACCTTCCGCATGATTGTCGGTTGCTCTACCAAGGAGAGCACTTTGGTCAACATCTGTTGATTTTAAATGTGCTCTATGAATAAAGCAAATAAACAATTAACTTAAAATCTAGAAGTTAAAATCTACTACAATGTCTAAAACTGAGTAATTAATAACTTACAAAACTAAATCCTAAAAATGCAACAAAAATTAAATTGACATGACAGATGTGACAGATGTCATGCACCAAGTTATAATTTGAGTCATATGTTCTTTATGTGCCCTCTGTTACAGAATTATTGGATTAATTATTTTACAATTATGTCCAAGGTGTTGCAGGTAAATATAAACCCATCCCCTGATGTTGCCATTTTTGGGGTTCCAAAGATTTGGTCCAAATTTAATTATAAACAACTTGATGTTTTGGCCTTTACCTCACTAATAGCCAGGCGTCGTATACTACTTCACTGGAAATCAAATAAGCCTCCAACTACATCCCAATGGCTTGTGGATACCATGCATTTTCTTAAGTTGGAAAAGGTTAGATGCTCTGGGAAAACTAATTTCTTTAAAAAGTGGCAATGTTTTATAACTTACTTTAACTCTCTTAAGGTATTGCCTTCTATTTAATGGATGCACTCTCCTGAGTTCCCTCCCTTTTTAATTTGTTTCGTATTAATTAAACTTTTTTGTTTTATCTAATACCATTTTATACCGTTTAATTGTAAACATTTACTTTCAACATTGACAATGTATCCGAACATTTAATTGTGATATTTGGTTGTAATTTTCAGTACACTTAATACTCATGTTTCTATTTTTCTTTTCCTCTTTTATTATTATCATTATTAATATTTCTCTTTTTTTATTATATATATTTTGTTATTTTTTTTGTCTCTTTTGTAAAAAAAAAAAAAAAAAAGAATGATATGTAACTATCTGTACAGATGTAATGTTTGTTTTTTCACAATAAACAATTTAAAAATTAAATTGACAGAAAACACAAAATAAGCACAGTATTAATCACTATAGTATTATGGTGATGTGTCTCTGTGATGCTTTCTATGCTGATGCTGCTGTGATCTGTCACCGTTGAAAGCGTTGTCTAACTGTGAGTGTTTTATTTATTTAGGATGGACTTCTTGAGGCACATCCGAGACTTCTTTCAGATCATGTTCAAGATCGAGACGCAGAAACCGAGTGAAGACGAGTGTAAAGGAGGAGAGAAGGTGCTGATGACGTGTGTGGGAGCCGGATACAACAACATCAGCAAAAGCATCAAATGAACTCTTATTCACTGTTCCCAGATCAGCTGCTTTTGTACTTTCAGAGACATTCACGGTGTGCTTTCAGATTAAATTTGTAGTAAAAGAGCCGCGTTTCTGATCTCACTCCTTTATGAATCCCAGCTCAGAGCAGTGTGGTATCATAATTATATTAAAATATTATTAAAGCCAAAAGGTGATAAATGCTAAATTTTCTTTCTACCAGCAGATGGCGCTATGAGTGTAACTGAATACTGGCTAGGTCTATGACTCTCCGGCTTATATACACTATTATCAGTGTTTTGCCATAGCAACTACAGATTTGCCACAACAGATTAGTTACCATATTCATGTTGCCATAGCAACTACAGAATTGACACATAGATTAATTGCTATAGTTGTATGTATAGCTCCATAGCAACTACAGAACTACCCAACAGGTGAATTGCTATAGTTGTTTATAGAATTACCACAACAATTTATTTTTGCAGTTGTGTTACCAGAGCTACTACAGAATTACCACAACAGATCAATTAAAATAGTTGTTGTGTTGCCATAGCCACTGTAGAATTACCAAAACGGATTATTATTGTTGCATTGCCAGAGCAACTGCAGAACTACCACACAGATGAATTGCTATAGTTGTCATATTGCCATAGCAACTACAGAACTACCATGACAGATTGATTACTATAGTGGTTGTATTACCATAGCAACTACAGAACTACGCAACAGAATAATTGCTATAACTAGTGTTGCCTTAGCAACTACAGAATTACCACGACAATTTAATTTTGCAGGTGTGTTACCATAGCAACCACAGAATTACCACAACAGACTTATTTTTACAGTTTTGTTACCAAAGCAACTATAGAATTAAAACAGATTAAATCCTTCTGTATTGCCATAGCAACTACGGAAATACCACAACTGATCATTGTTGTTATATTGCCATAGCAACTACGGAAATACCACAACAGGTTTTTAATATTATTTCGTATTGCCATATCAACTACAGAACCACCACAACAGATTAATTACTATAGTTGTATTGCCATAGAAACTACAGAACTACCACAACAGATGAGTTGCTATAGTTGTTGTATTGCGATAGCAATGGCAGAACTACCACAACATATTAATTATTATAGTGGTTGTATTCAATTCAATTCAGCTTTATTTGTATAGCGCTTTTACAATGTAGATTGTGTCAAAGCAGCTTCACATAAATGGTCATAGTAACTGGAACAGTGTGGTTCAGTTTTTAGTGTTTAAGTTCAGTTTAGTTTAGCTCAGTTCAGTGTGATTTAATCATTACTGAGAGTTCAAACACTGAAGAGCAAATTCATCGATGCGTAGCTCTACCAATCCTGAACCATGCGAGGCTTTGAGGCTTTGTATTACCAAAGTGACTACAGAATTACCACAACAGATTAATTATTACTATTGTTGTATTGCCATAGCAACTGTAGAATTACCACAACAGATTAATTGCTATTGTTGTTGTATTGCCATAGCAACTGTAGAATTACCACAACAGATTAATTGCTATTGTTGTTGTATTGCCATAGCAACTGTAGAATTACCAAAACAGATTAATTGCTATTGTTGTTGTATTGCCATAGCAACTGTAGAATTACCACAACAGATTAATTGCTATTGTTGTCATATTGCCATAGCAACTGTAGAATTACCACAACAGATTAATTGCTATTGTTGTTGATTTTCCATAGCACCTTTAGAACTACCACAAAAGATTATTGGCTGTATTTGTTGTATTGCCATAGCAACTACAGAATTACCACAACAGATTAATATAGTTGTAATATTCCCATAGTAGCTGTAGAATTACCACAAAAGATTAAGTGAAGTACCTCACTATAGTATAGTTAAAAACTATTTACTATAAATGAATATAGTATTTTTTTAATTTGGGTTTTGGTGAAAAGCGTCCCAAACACGCCTCTGCTTCCTCTCCACATCCCTCAGTTTCCTCTGCTGTTGTTTGGACGGATCGCTGCTGTTTTAGTTCTGATCTTTGCTCAGGAATTTTTCGAGAGCTGCTGTTTAAAAGCTTCCTATTATTGTGTTTGGCTCTGGTTCTCCGTCAGCCGTTCTTGCACTCAGTCTACGCTGTTTTATGTTTTTATTTTCTCCAGTCTGTCAGAAAAAGGTTGCGTAAATGCCTAAATATTGACACTTGAGCTGCAGTGATTTCTGTGAATGGAATAAAAACCACTGAACTGCATCTGAAGGTCAAGAGCAACAAACAAAAGCAGTGGAGTTTAGTGTGCGTTGAATAAGAATTGAATGATATACAGTTTTGCACATGGATTTAAATCAAAGTACATTATTGCTAGAAGTAGTTATCAGGAATTAATCATATATTGGCCATTAATGAAACTCTTATACAAGTGCATAAATATCAAATCGATAGATATACAAAAAGGCAGCAACACCAAGCTACAAAAGTGCCAGTTTATTAAATTTGGTGTTGCCACCTTTATGAATATATTTGCTGTTTGTCTGAGCACCCATTTAAAGATTTGTGTGTACTTCTGTGCAGACCATTAGCATCTCGCTCAGTCAAAAAGTCATTTTTCCTATTTAAAACTTGTTTGTAGTTGCATTGTGTAATAAGACTGATGGAAAAAAAGTCACTTGCTCTGGACTATTTCCAGGGTTTGTATAATATCATTGTGCCTGCTGCAGCCATGATATGGCAGCAAAGTTCCCTGATTATTACACCAGAACGAAAGTATAGTTCCTAGCCATATCAGCTTATAGAAAATAGCAACTTCCATTGAGTTTTTACTTTTTCAATGCATCTTTGAAAATCTCAATGTTCCCTTGACTTTTAGCCACAGATCTGCCTTGTTTTTTCTGAATGTTAAAAGCCGTCACATTGGGATAGATGACAGGGGTTTTGTAGGTAAGATAAGGTCAAGTATGCATTAAGAATATTGTCTATGACACAATAGATTGATATTGAAGCCACACTCCACTATTTTGAGGGAAATAGGGTGTTTTTACACGCTCACAAGTGTTAAACAACTGAGTTTTATCTTATTGAATCCATTCAATCGATCTCTGGGTTTGGCGGGAGCACTATTAGCTTAGCTTAGCATAAATCATTGAATCAGATTAGACCATTAGCATCTCGCTCAGACAAAAAGTCATTTTTTCTATTTAAAACTTGACTCATTTTGTAGTTATGCTGTGTAATAAGACTAATGGAAAATAAGTCGCTTGCTCTTGACTATTTTCAAGGTTTGTATAATATCATTGTGCCTGCTGCAGCCATGAAATGGCAGCAAAGTTCCCTGATTATTACACCAGGACGAGATTATGGTTCCTAGACATACCAGCCTCTAGAAAATAGCTACTTTCCATTTCCCATCAGACCTTGTAGATGTTGGAACTACAGAAGAGTCTAGCTTTAAATAGGAAAGATCAAAACTCTCTTACATTTTTAAATGAGATGCTAATGGTCTAATCTGATTCAATGATTATTAACACTAATAGTTCATAATAATAATAATTTAATTATAACATTATTTGATTATTAATAATTAATTGAAAAATAATAAATTTGTACAATTAATTTTTAATACAAATATGCAATTAATATTTTACTAATTAAAATATTGTAAATGTTAGTATTTTAGAACATTAAATGACACATATTAACATAATCATGACATTATAAATGTTACATTTATCAATTTCTATTTATTCATTACAAATAATAAATTATTAACAGCAATAATTTCCGTGGAGAACATGCAAACTCCACACAGAAATGCCAACTGATTCAGCCAGGACTCGAACCTGTGAACTTCTTGTTGTAAGGCATCAGAGCTAACCACTGAGTCGCCTTATACATTGTATATACAACACATAACTTATTAATTAAAATATTGTAAATGTTATTTTAAATAACACATTTATAAATGTTTAACATATCAATTTTTATTTACACATCACAAATAATAAATTACTAACAGCAATAATTTACAAGTATAAATTATTTAATGATTACAAATTAATTGCAAATTGTTTTTTTAAGTACCTGCATTGTTTTTTAATTTTGGAGTTGTAATAAAATAACTAAAAGTGTAAAGAATTATGTTTTTTTTCATGTCCATATTTTATTAATTAATGTAATTTTTATTACTGTAAGTGTTAGCATTTTAAATGAAGCATGGTAAAGGTCACACGTTTATAAAATGTTAAAAGTTCTAATTATAAATGACAATAAATTATTAATAGAAATAATTTACAAGTATTAATCATTTAATTATTATTTTTTTATTAATAAATGAACATTGTTTAATTTAACATTAAAGTAGAAAGATCGTGCAGTTTTCTGATATTATATTGCTAAACCAGTGTGCAAGATAAAGCTGAGTTTATTTTATGAAAGTGCTCTGATATGCAGCTCGAAGAAAAGGATTTTATTATTTTTAATAAGGATTCTTGTTTTCAACATTTGAAAATTTGTGTTGGCACAATAGCCCAGTGGTTAGCGCACCGACAAATGGTGTAATAGCACGTCAGGGCATCGCGAGTTCGAATCCCGACTCGACGACATTTCCCTACTCACCCCCCCTCTCTCTCTCTTTCCCACTTCGCTTCCTGTCTCAATACTGTCCTATCTAATAATGAAGGCAAAAAGACAACAAAAAAAAAAAGAAAATTTGTAAATGGGCAGTAAAAACAGCTAATTGAAAAAACCCTACATAATCTACATTATTTTAAAGCCTTAAACCTGTTTTTGTGACTTTTTGATTTGACTTATGTATTTGTTGTCTTTCATTTTTTTTATTAAATTATTCTTTCGGAGACATTCACAGTGTGCTTTCAGATTCAATTTGGAGTAAAAGAGCCTCTTTTCTGATCTCACTCCTTTATGATTCCCAGCTCAGAGCAGTGTGGTATCATAATTATATTAAAATATTAATATTAAAGCTGAAAGCTGCATTGAAAAGGGACTTGCACATTGCTGCCCGGTGGCCTAATGATGACAGAAGACATTCATTCATTCATTCATTTTCTTGTCGGCTTAGTCCCTTTATTAATCCGGTGTCGCCACAGTGGAATGAACCACCAACTTATCCAGCAAGTTTTTACACAGCGGATGCCCTTCCAGCCGCAACCCATCTCTGGGAAACATCCACACACACACTCATACACTACGGACAATTTAGCCTACCCAATTCACCTGTACCGCATGTCTTTGGACTGTGGGGGAAACCGGAGCACCCGGAGGAAACCCACGCGAACGCAGGCAGAACATGCAAACTCCACACAGAAACGCCAACTGAGCCGAGGCTCGAACCAGCGACTCAGTGACCTTCTTGCTGTGAGGCGACAGCACTACTGCATGACAAAAGATAGTGGTCCATAAATAAAGGTGATCAATGCCGAACTTTCCTTCTGCCAGCTCAAAGATAAGGATATTTTTTTATGAGGATTCTTGTTTTCGATATTTGATATATCTTGAGTTTACTTATTATTTATGAAAAATACTTTTTTAATGGCCAGTAAAAAAAGCTCATTAAAAAGTAAAGCCTTTTTTTTAATATATATAATTTCTTATTACTTACAACAAAATTGACTTATGGACTTAAGGTTTTTCAGTTTTAAAAAATTTACTTATGTCAAATTCTAATTTTATTTGTCACATTTGTCACCACACGATATACAGTGTACTGCTTATACAACCACTTGTGACCTTAAAAAAATAATATCAATAAGAATCTACAATATGGAACACAATAAGAAGTAAAAACACAGACAATTTTAGAAATAGAAATAGAAGTAATAGCTACAGAATATATAAAATATTAAAAACTTTAGATATGGAGAATATAGAAAATAAACAAAATATTAATATATAAACGCTTAGCTAATGTATACAAACATCCATAGAACACATAGAAGTGTTTCTAACAAAGTGCCCATATGTACATAATGCAGTGCAAAATACCATGACACACTTTATTTAAATTGAATACATACTGTCTTTACATAAATAGACAATACATATGTAAATAAACACGTTACTGTTTATCCTTTATTTTTACAATTGTACTCATTTTCTATCATTGCACTTGTATGTTCGTTATTATACAAATGGCAAGAAATTAAAAATTGAAGAGCACCAAAAAAACCTTGAGAGATGAAAGCTGAAGCAGGAGCGCGCGCGCGTGTCCGAGTGTGAGCGCGCGGCGCGTGCTCATGATGGCGGCGGCAGTGGCGTTGGAGGTGGAGGTGAGCAGCGACTCTTCCAGCAGCACCGCGGAGGAGGAGCGCCTGCAGCGGCTTTTCCAGACGTGTGACGGGGACGGAGACGGATTCATTAACCGGTCAGAGTCGCACACCGATCCGCTGTCCTGTGTTCACACACACACTTACAAAACTAACGTACAAAACTCTGCTGCACAGTCGAGAAGCGGGACAGGCGCGTGACGTCACGAGCCTTTTACAGTTAACACGGGCGATCGCGAAACTAACCATTTAATTCGTGAAAACGGCAAAAATTGAGCGTATAAAGTGAGTTTTGACGGGTTTCGGGGTGGCTGGAGTGTGTTGTGCTATCATCGGAAGTGACAGGAAATGTTTCATCCTCATCCGCTAAACTTCGGGGTTTGTTTATGTTGCCTTCAAACTTCATTCTGTGTTTTCCGTGAGATTGTTTATTAGCACATTCCTCTGGTTATTGAGGTAAAGTTCGTTTTATATTCAGACTTTCTTCTTAATAATTTAATTTCAGAAAAGTATTCACAAATTCTTAACAGTAAAATATGAGCAGCCAATAACTATCAAAGTGCATTGTTTACAGTCAAACAAATAGTGCTAATAAGTAAATTAGTAAGTCATACTTGCATGCTGTTTCTGACTGAATATCCAGAGTACCATGGTAAACAATATAGGGGGCATGTTATAAGTTGTCACTAAATGAATGTGCATGTGAATATAAACCCAACTTTAGCTCAATCCTGTCATTTGATGAACAGAAGTGATTCTGATGTGGTCATGTTAGTGTTCAGATTGTCACTGAAGATGTCAAAACATCTCTGAAAATACCATAATCGGATTAAAATAAGATTAAACATAAGACACAAAACTATTTGACTCTTAAAAGTGTGTATTGCATTAAAGGGGACAGTTCACCCAAAAATGAAAATGTCCTTATTTATATTACTCGCACTCAAGTGATTCAAAACTATTATGAATATCTGTCTAATGTAGAACACAAGCTAGATATTCAGAAGAATGCTTAAAGCTGCCATTAACTTCTATAATAGGAACACAAATGCTATAGAAGTCATTATAATATCAACTATTTTCTTTTTCTCACATTCTTCGAAATATCCTCTTTTGTGTTCAACAGAAGAGAGAAACTCAAACCACGTTAATGAATAAATGAGTTTTTGGGTGAACTGTCACTTTAAATTTAAAATTTCATCAAATGTAATTTACTAATAATAAATATGCACTTTTCAATCACAGTAGTAGACAAAAAAAGCTTACATTGCTAAAAATCATGAGGTTTTACGTGCTGTGACACGTTATAGTTGTGATTTGTATGGGATTAAAAAGATGCCAGTTGTCTTTGAAACAAAATAAATCATGTTTAAAACTATAAACCCTGATCCTCAGACATATTGGTCTCTTAATTAAAGTTGGTTTTGTATTCAGACTTTCTCTATAATAATATAATTTCAGTAAAGTATTATTCGCACATTCTAAATAGTGAAATCATATGAGCAGCCAATAACTATCAAAGTGCATTGTTTACAGTCAAACAAATAGTGCTAATAAGTAAATTAGTAAGTCATACTTGCATGCTGTTTCTGACTGAATATCCAGAGTACCATGGTAAACAATATAGGGGGCATGTTATAAGTTGTCACTGAATGAATGTGCATGTGAATATAAACCCAACTTTAGCTCAATCCTGTCATTTGATGAACAGAAGTGATTCTGATGTGGTCATGTTAGTGTTCAGATTGTCACTGAAGATGTCAAAACATCTCTGAAAATACCATAATCGGATTAAAATAAGATTAAACATTAGACACAAAACTATTTGACTCTTAAAAGTGTGTATTGCATTAAAGGGGACAGTTCACCCAAAAATGAAAATGTCCTTATTTATATTACTCGCACTCAAGTGATTCAAAACTATTATGAATATCTGTCTAATGTAGAACACAAGCTAGATATTCAGAAGAATGCTTAAAGCTGCCATTAACTTCTATAATAGGAACACAAATGCTATAGAAGTCATTATAATATCAACTATTTTCTTTTTCTAACATTCTTCGAAATATCCTCTTTTGTGTTCAACAGAAGAGAGAAACTCAAACCACGTTAATGAATAAATGAGTTTTTGGGTGAACTGTCACTTTGAATTTAAAATTTCATCAAATGTAATTTACTAATAATAAATATGCACTTTTCAATCACAGTAGTAGACAAAAAAAGCTTACATTGCTAAAAATCATGAGGTTTTACGTGCTGTGACACGTTAAAGTTGTGATTTGTATGGGATTAAAAAGATGCCAGTTGTCTTTGAAACAAAATAAATCATGTTTAAAACTATAAACCCTGATCCTCAGACATATTGGGCTCTTAATTAAAGTTGGTTTTATATTCAGACTTTCTCTATAATAATATAATTTCAGTAAAGTATTATTCGCACATTCTAAATAGTGAAATCATATGAGCAGCCAATAACTATCAAAGTGCATTGTTTACAGTCAAATAAATAGTGCTAATGTTGAATGTTGAATGCTGACTGAATATTCAGAGTACCATGGTAAACAATATAGGGAGCGTGTCACAAGTTGTCACTGAATGAATGTGCATGTGAATATAAACCCAACTTTAGCTCAATCTTGTCATTTGATGAACAGAAGTGATTCTGATGTGGTCATGTTAGTGTTCAGATTGTCACTGAAGATGTCAAAACATCTCTGAAAATACCATGATGGGAATAAAATAAGATTAAACATAAGACACAAACATATTCGACTCTTAAAAGTGTGTATTGCGTTAAAGGAACAGTTCACACTAAAATGAAAAGGTCCTTATTTGTATTTAATACTTAAGTGATTCAAAACTATTTTATATATTTAGTGAGTTTGGGTCCCAAAAGTTCTAAAATACACCTTTAATTTTTATTTTAATTGAATTTTTTTCTTATATCCTTCAATCTCTTTTTCTACATTTGATCTTAAAGCAAAATAATAATAGTAATAATAACATGTAAAGCACCCTGTAAAACTTTTGAAGCGATTTATTTTCTTAAAATGAATTCACTGCAAAAAATTAATAAATTAACTATTTCATATTTAAAACTAAGTCTTTACTGATTTGACTGCTAGACTGGTCCATGATTGAAGGTGGGGGACACATTTAAATTGCGCACATAACAATTACGTTTAAATTAAAAATTGTAGACTCTCACCGTTAGAGCTGCACAGTTCTGGCTAAAATGAGAATCATGATTTTTTTGCTTACAATAAAGATCACGATTCTTTAGCTGTAAAATAAAGGTTAATAGTGTATATGCCGAAGCATGCTAATGGGACTTTTAATTTGCCAGTAACCTGGGTTAAGCGCTTCTGGCGAACTGTATGCAATGCAAAATCCGGTGCGTTTAAGGGCTGTTTTCTTTAATAATCAGCAATCTCCAGTAGCTGAGTGATATCTGATATAAAGTGGGTCTTAGATTGTGCAAGAAGCACTGAATTAAATAACATTTTCCCCGCCATATCTTTATAATATGAGCATTTATTTTACTCTAGTATATTTAATGGAGCTTCTGCGCTAGCCTGCCGATTCTGACGGGCGCGTGCGAGTAAACGGCTTTTTGTCTCATTTTACGCTTGAGCAACTAAATGAATGCCAGAGTTTATTTACCTGAATGTATTTTAATGACATTACAACATCCATGCTGTAAAAGAGAACCGTATAAAATGGAAATAAGTTCCCAATAACAGGTCACGGGAAATTTATCAGCATGGGAAAAACACTAGCTCGGCATATACCCTATACAAGTCGGCAATTATTAAAGTTTTTTCTCAAACATATGGTAAAACAACAACAGTAATAATATTATGTTTATGTCTACTAGTTTCTATAAATAATTCTATTCTACTTATAATAATTCTGATGTTGAATTATGTTTGAGATATAGGCCTATGCTTGCAATCATTGACAACATTATTAGACCATTTAATTTACTGGTAAAGTCAACATTATATAGGCTAGAGTAGGTATACTGATACTTTTAAACATTTATTTTCATGCACAACTGTGTGTTCGCTATGAAAGAAAACACATATCAAATGCTTGTCGCCATCATAACTCTAAAATGCGATATGATCATTTAAATGATGTGCACGCTTTTGGTTTCATTTTCACTGCCGTGTGCTGTTCTTACTTAGAGCGCAGCTCTCAAATGATCACTCTGTGCCACAAACTGAATATTATTTTCAACTGTATTACCTGTTACTCACAGCATATGCAGGTTCTGTTCATTGAAGAAGACGCACGCGCATCTATCATTAAGTAGAGCGCACGCCCCTTGTGGTAACAGCTCACGGTCAGCAGCTCACGTCACGTATGTTTTCCTGGCCGCGAATACAGCATCATATGAAGACAAAAATGACATTTTTAGGTGAATTATACCTTATAAATATAGTATGTGACTCTTTCAACATCATTTGGAGGTGTTAATGTCACTGAGCAACGTGTGTGGAACAATGAAAAGACTCGTGCAGCTTTGCTTCTCTCCTTCAACCGTATAGCCGAATTAATGTATGCATTGGCATGTTACAGCCCTGATGAGTATGATTATGTGAAACTCCATATAGATACATATTGCAATGATTTCGGGTACTTTCTTAGCGATGCACACACACATAAATGCACACTCCTTAAATGCTCCGCTGATTTGGACTCTATAATACCTGTTTTATAACTTTAAACTATTAACAACCACCACTGAGCTTTATTCTAGCGATCGTTCTTCCCGCTTCGTGGTGGATTTTGGCATAGTCCATTTCATGTGAGATGGGGGGGGTGAGGGGAAGAAACCAAGTCGCGGGGGGAATATTTTCTACAGAAAAAAATTATGATTTCTTATGTGGCCCTGTACCAATTGTTCCACGGACCGGTACCAGTCCACGGCCCGGTGGTTGGGGACCACTGGTCTAGGGGGTCGAATCGAGATCACGATCTTTTTTCGATTAATTGTGCAGCTTTACTCACTGTACAAAATATGATAAAAAACAATGTTATATATAATTTGTGGATATCATTTATACTTCTATGTGTGTGTTGTGTTAAGGGGACAGTTCACCCAAAAAAGAACATTTCCTTATTTATGTTACTCGTACTCTTTCTGATGTTAAACACAAACTTGATAAAGCTGCCATAGACCTCTATAATAGAAACCTGAACATTCTTCAAAATATCCTCTTTTGCATTCAACAGAAGAAGAAAAACTCAGTCACGTTTAAAACAAGTGGAGGATGAGTAAATGACGACACAATTGTCATTTTTTTGGGTGAACTGTCACTTTAAATTCAAGGTGTCGTCAAATGTATTTTACTGATCATAAGTATATGCTTTTCAATCACAGTAGTTGAAGATTTGTAGCCTATAAAAAGGCCGCAAATCTTTTTAAATGCATTAAAAGGCAAGTGCATAATCTTAGCCTTGAGTTTGTTCACACTCTGCCTGTATTAACATGCATGCTGTATTTTATTATAGCTAATTTTGATGAATTAGCTCTAACTGACAGCTGTTTCTTCTTTTTCTGCGGTTATGCGTATGCATATTTCACACGCATATGCAAGGTGACTGAATATGAAATTAAAATACAAAACATACTGAGCCATTAAGTAACAAAACAAAACAACAGTTATACTTTAAAGGAGAACATTGAATTTTTGAAACAAAAAAACGGAACTAAAACTAAATTATTAAAAATAAACCCGCCAGACTTAATTTATGTCCTATTTTCATTATTTTCATTATTCATTTATTTTCATTATTCGTTTATTATTATGTGCAATAATTGAAACATAAAATGAGATAGTAAAACATAATCAACAACGAAAATGTAAATAAAAAACATAAATGAAAATGTCTTGTCTTAGTCCTATCAAAATAGCAAACACTGAACATCTCTCCATATTTAGGCTAAAAGACTGCTTTATTTATTTATTTATTTATTTAAGACTACTTATTTGTACTGAATGTTTGTGCTTTCATTTTAGTTGTCTTTCATTTCTTCAATTCTATTTTCCAAAATGAGTCTTCTTTGCACTTAAAAAGTTTACATTAAAGCGTGTTAACAAATTTTAAATGATTAATGAAGGAATTATAATGCTTTGACTTATTGTTTAATCTCATTTACAAGCACAGTAGCATATTTAAAGCTGCTGTATGGGCTATTTCTGTCTGTTCACATCCCGTCCCTTTGCGCCCCCTGGCGGCTTATTCACAAACTGCGGTCATACACTAAAAACAGAGTGGCAGCAATTTCAAACGGCGGCGGTATAAGCCCCGGCGGTAATAGCCACTTTGAACTCTCACCTACTGTAAAAACAGCTTACATTGCTAAAAGTCATATAGTGTTTAAGTTTTACATGCTGTGTAAATGCTACTTGATGGCAGTGAATGCCAAATGTCTTTGAAACAAATAAACCATGTTTAAAACTGTGACCGCAGGTCTCCAGAAATGTTTAAGATGCAAATTATAAGTATTTAAATTGTACATTTAAATTGAAAAGGATTGACCAAGTGATGAAATATCAATATGTTTTTGTTATTGCAGTACATTTAATAAGTTGTTATGAGCCGAAATACGTAATATGTACAAAAAGAATTACACTTTCAAAAGTGAAAATCAGGTGACACAGTGGTTAGCACTATGGCCTCAGAGCAAGAAGGTTGCTGGGTCGAGTCCCGGTTGGGTCAATTGGTGTTTCTGTTTTGCATGTTCTCCCCATGTTGGCGTGGGTTTTCTCCGGGTGCTCCGATTTCCCCCACAGTCCAAACACATGCGCTATAGGGGAATTGATCAAGGCAAGGCAAGTTTATTTATATAGCACATTTCATACACAATGGCAATTCAAAGTGCTTTACATAAACAAGAAGAAAAGAAACAAGTAAAATAAAAATAAAAACAGATAATAAAAATGCGTAAAAACAAAACAAAACATAAAAACAGGTAAAATGTGATATGAAAGAATGAAGAAGAAGAGAAAAACATGATAGTGCAATCTGTTGGACGCAGCACAGTGCTCATACAGTAAAGGCACAGCTAAACAGATGTGTGTTCAGTCTTGATTTGAATGTGCCTAATGTTGGAGCACATCTGATCATTTCTGGAAGCTGATTCCAGCAGCGGGGGGCGCTGTTAGTGGCTGAAAGCTGATTCACCCTGCTTTGACTGAACTCTTGAAACTTCTAGTTTATATGATCCTAAAGATCTGAGTGATCTGTTGGGTTTGTATTCAGTGAGCATATCTGTGATGTATTTAGGTCCTAGGCCATTTAGTGATTTATAGACCAGTAATAATACTTTAAAATCTATTCTGAATGTAACTGGCAGCCAGTGTAGAGACCTGAGGACAGGTGTGATGTGCTCTGATTTTCTGGTTCTGGTTAGAATTCTGGCTGCAGCGTTCTGGATGAGCTGCAACTGTCTAACTGTCTTATTGGGAAGACCAGTGAGGAGTCCATTACAGTAATCCACCCTGCTGCTGATAAAAGCATGGACAAGTTTCTCTAAATCTTCACTAGAAACAAAGCATCTGATTCTTGCTATGTTTTTGAGATGATAGTATGCTGATAGTATCAACTAAATTGGCTGTAGTTTATGAGTGTGTGTGAATGAGTGTGTGTGTTTTTCCCAGTACTGGATTGCAGCTGGAAGGGCATCCGCTACATAAAACATATGCTAGATAAGTTGGCGGTTCATTCCGCTGTGGTGACCCCTAATAAATAAAGGGACTAAGCCAAAGGAAAATGAATGAATGAATGACAAAGCAGGGTTCAACGCTAAGGATTTTTTCTACTGGTCTGTTCAGGCCAATGGTTCAGATTTTTACTTGCCCTGCCAAAATTTTCACTGGCCCCTTAAAAAAATAATAATAATAAAATTTAATAGCTATTTTTTGCCACATATATTAAATAATGTGTCAAAAATAATGTTTATAATTATTAAAATGTTAATATTATTTAAATAATATTTTTTAAATGTATAATATATGTATAATGAGCAAAATTATGTTAACAAAACAAAAAGAGCAGTATGGAAAATGTGAAGTTATTTTATTTGAGTTCGAAATTATTAAAAAAAAAATGGTGGCCCCAATCGGGCCAGTAATGGTCCCGTCTACTGTCCCAAGCATCTCCCACTCTGGCCCCGGGCCATCGGGCAGTCCTTATTGTTGAGCCCTGCAAAGTGAAAGTATAGTGCAGTCCACTTCCAGAAAAGTGACGGTGCAAAATAAAATCAAAGGCATTTTACAAGCACATTTACATCCTATATCACCGGTGTCAGAGTTTATATTTGGACATAAAAAAAATCTAATTACAGAATTTTAATGACATGGAGAATATAAAGTGAATCTGTGTATGCTGACCTGCATTACTTTGCTTTTGTGTTATAATTATATTATCAGCGGATAAAAATGGTCTTAAAATGACAATATTGTCTTATTGCAGTCAATTCTAGCGTCACGGTGGTGCAGTGGGTAGCACAATCGCCTCTCAGCAAGAAGGTCGCTGGTTCAAGCCTCAGCTGGGCCAGTTGGTATTTCTGTGTGGAGTTTGCATGTTCTCCCCATGTTGGCGTGGGTTTCCTCTGGGTGCTCCGGTTTCCCACACAGTCCAAACACGTGCGGTATAGGGAAATTGGGAAGGCTAAATGTCCGTAGTGTATGAATGTTGCCCAGTGATGGGTTGCAGCTGGAAGGGCATCCGCTGTGTAAAACATATGCTGGGTAAGTTGGCGGTTCATTCCGCTGTGGTGACCCCTATATTAGTAAAGGGACTAAGCTAAAGGAATATGAATGTATGCAGTCAATTCTGAAGTAATATATTGCATAGTTTATAGAACGCTCATCGGTAATGTGAATTAAATATTGAACACTGCTATTGGATAAAGAAACTATACGCTTATGACTGATTTAGTGTGACTGTTATTTTGCTCTAAAGCGCAGTGGTTTTTCTCTCTCAGGAATGATCTGCTGATGGTCTGCCGGCAGCTGAATATGGAGGACTCTGTGGCGGAGATCATGGGTCAGCTAGGCGCAGATGAGCGAGGAAAGATCTCCTTCGAGGACTTCACTCGCTGCCGCATGCAGCTACTCACTGAGATCCAAAAGGAGGAAGGACAGCTTTCCCTGCGCTCCAGCGACTCGGACAAGCAGAAACTTCGGGAACGCATCGCCTCCTGGCCCACTAGCAGTGAGAATAGTTTAGGTATGTCTAAAACTGTGTAGGATGACATTACGTGACAGAATTAGTAGTCAGTAATATCTCTTAAATAACACGTTTATAGTAATGTAATCTGACTACTTTTATGCTAACTCTTGTTTGATGACACGTATATTGAAGCAGGTTAATCTTTTCAAAGTTTAGTTTTATTTTTTGTATTAATATATTTATTTTGTATTGTGTATTTTTATATGAACTACTACACCGGCCACTTTATTAGGTACACCTTACTAGTACCGGGTTGGACCACTTTTGCCTTCAGAACTGTCTTAATCCTTCATGGCGTAGATTCAACAAGCTACTGGAAATATTCCTCAGAGATTTTGCTCCATATTGTCATGACAGCATCACACAGTTGCTGCAGATTTGCCGGCTGCACATCCATGATGCCAATCTCCCGTTCCACCACATCCCAAAGCTGCTCTATTGGATTGAGCTCTGGTGACTGTGGAGGCCATTTGAGTACAGTGAACTCATCGTCATGTTCAAGAAACCAGTCTGAGATGATTGAGCTTTATGACATGCTGCGTTATCCTGCTGGAAGTAGCCATCAGAAGATGGAGACACTGTGCTCATAAAGGGATGGACATGGTCAGCAGCAATACTCAGGTAGGCTGTGGTATTAACGCTCAATTGGTACTAATGGACCCAAAGAAAATCTCCCCCACACCATTACACCACCACCACCAGCCTAAACCGCTGATACAAGGCAGGATAGATCCATGCTTTCATGTTGTTGAGGCCGAAATCTGACCCGACCATCTGAATGTGTCAGCAGAAATGGAGACTCATCAGAGCAGCAACGTTTCTCCAATCTTCTATTGTCCAGTTTTGGTGAGTCTGTGTGAATTGTAGCCTCAGTTTCCTGTTCTTAGCTGACAGGAGCGGCACCCGGTGTGGTCTTCTGCTGCTGTAGCCCATCCGCCTCAAGGTTGGACGTGTTGTGTGTTCAGAGATGCTCTTCTGCAGAGCTCGGTTGTATCGAGTGCTTATTTGAGTTACTGTTGCCTTTCTATCAGCTGGAACCAGTCTGGCCATTCTCCTCTGACCTCTGGCATCAACAAGGCATTTGCGCCCACAGAACTGCCGCTCCTTGGATATTTCCTCTTTGTCAAACCATTCTCTGTAAATCCTAGAGAGGGTTGTGCGTGAAAATCCCAGTAGATCAGCAGTTTCTGAAATACTCTGGCACCAACAACCATGTCACGGTTAAAGTCACTCAAATCCCCTTTCTTCCTCATTCTGATGCTCACTTTGAACTGCAGCAGATCGTCTTGACCATGTCTACATGCCTAAATGCATTGAGCTGCAGCCATGTGATTGGCTGATTAGAAATTTGTGTTAACAAGCAGTTAGATAACTGTACCTAATAAAGTGGCCAGTGAGTGTATTTTCCATTACTTTAATAAGACCAATACCATATCAAATAAATCCAACTTATCACAACAAATAGCAATGGAGCCATTTGACGCTGAATTAGGATTTATTTACACAGACAGTTGAGACTTTACCGGATGAAGGACCATATATGCTGTTTACTTTGATTACAATATAATTTTTAAGTCATAAACGTTCTGTGATAACATTCAGTAACACTCCAGGGCTTTACACAATGGGTTATTGCAGCTCAAATTTAGCATGAATACGTTTACATTGCAGAAGTCTTTCAGTCACGCAGTCTTAATTCAGTGCATGTTTATGTGTATAGTGCTTTTCACAACAATTAGCATGTTCTCCCTGTGTTGGTGTGGGTTTCCTCCGGGTGCTCCGGTTTCCCCCACAGTCCAAACACATGCGCTATAGGGGAACTGATCAACTAAATTATCCGTAGTGTATGAGTGTGTGTGAATGTGTAGCTAGAAGGGCATCCGCTGCGTAAAACATATGATGGAATTGTTGGCGGTTCATGCTACTGTGGCAAAAAGGACTAAGCCAAAGGAAAATGAACGAATTATGCTCATGTGTGTGTTATTTGTGTATTTGCAGGCGCTCGGGAGAGTTGGGAGTTTGATTCAGGAGCCCGGGATTTACAGAGCCCAGAGCTTCAGTCTCCAACACAAACACATCCTCATCTTCATCCTCACCTTCATCATCATCAGCAGAGCTCTCCTTTACTGCAGAAACTCCTGGAGCAGCCCAGTGTTCTGGAGCCTTCATCTGGGGTCCAGCAGCTCCTGTGTCAGCCTGCATTCAGCCGCAGCGGGGGCTACCTGGAGCTGGCCAACACTGTGAGTCAATACTGATGCTTTCACTTCTGACCTTGCTTGTGGGTTTGGCATTGTTACCATGAACTGCCGAGCGTATGGGAGTTTTGGTGCAGTGTGAGTTTGACAAATCTGTAAATGAGCAGTTTTCTGTGTTTTGTGGTTCCTGTTTTGATTTTAAAGTGACATACTTTTAATACAGTAATGTGGAGCTGGTGAATATTGTCAAGATTATTGAGAATCACAAACAAACTCATCAACAAAAATGATCTGAATTTATTTTACGGTCATTTAAACGGGTTTCTTCTGCCTTTGCTGTTCGTTATTTGGATTTTGGGTTGAAATGTGACCAGGGAATGTTTGTGCTTTTCTCTCTTAAATGTTAGATGCACTGATCTGAAGAGTTGCAGCAATAACAAATATGAAGCCACAATTGTGTGTTAGTCTGTAGATGGCGCTGTTTCCGTGCATCTGTCAGATTTTTACTGTGGTGTTTGCAGGCGTTCATGATTTACTAATCTCGCTTGTGTGCACCTTTTGTTATCTTTTTTGCCTGTTGAGATCTTCCAACTTCTGATTTTAAGGGTTGTGAGTGAAAGAGCCAAAATTTTGCAGTCACAACGTGCTGACACTTCAGTCAGTAGGATTAGTTGATGAATTATTTGCACTCCTGTATATTTTGCTCCCCAATTTCTGTTTAACGGAGAGTTTTTTTCAGCACATTTCTAATCATAATAGTTTAATAACTCATCTCTAATAACTGATTTATTTTCTCTTTGTCATGATGACAGTAAATAATATTAGACTAGATATTCTTCAAGACACTTCTATACAGCTTAAAGTGACATGTAAAGGCTTCACTAGGGTAGTTAGGGTAAAGTTAGGGTAATTAGGCAAGTCATTGTATAACAGTGGTTTGTTCTGCAGACAATCCAACACTAATATTGCTTAAAGGGAAATTAAATGTTGACCTTAAAATGGTTTTAAAAAATTAAGAACTGCTTTTATTTTTGCCAAAATAAAACAAATAAGACTTTCCCCAGAAGGAAAAATACTATAGGGAATACTGTGAAAATTTCCTGAATCTGTTCAACATCATTTGGGAAATATTATATAAAAAATATATTTAAAAAAAAAATCCCTAAAGCGTTTAGCATTATGTGTATATAAACATTGTTTTTATGATGTTTAACCATGGATATTGTCATTACTGTACATATATTTTCATATAATGCCCTTTAATTTGATTTTTGATTTGTTTTAAATTACAATTATTAATTATTAATTAAATCAGCAGCACTAATTTAGGGCAGTACAGCATATACTACCAAAATATTTCCTTCTTCCCAAAAAAGCTTGTTTATTTGTTTTTTTTAGCCAAAATGATATATGTTTTTTATTTTTTTGATTGTGGATGTGATTTTAACTTTTTAAAGTTAAACCTTTTTTTTTTTTTTAAATCATTTCATATTTAATATATAAGGCAATACAATTTCAATAATTTATCCATCCATATATCTATCCATCCATCGCTCCATACATCCATCCATCCTTCTGTCCGTCTGTCTGTTCATCTGTCTGTCCGTCTGTCTGTCTATCTATCTATCCATTTGTCTATCTATCTATCTATCTATCTATCTATCTATCTATCTATCTATCTATCTATCTATCTATCTATCTATCTATCTATCTATCTATCTATCTATCTATCTATCTCTCTATCTCTCTATCTATCTATCTATCTATCTATCTATCTATCTATCTATCTATCTATCATCTCGTTCTTCTGTCCATCCATCCATCCATCCATCCATCCATTCATCCATCTATCATCTCGTTCTTCTGTCCGTCCGTCCATCCATCCATCCTTCCATTTATCAATCTGTCGATCAATCTATCTAACTCTTCGGTGAAATATGAGCTTTACATGATCCTGATATTTATTATTTTTTATGTTTCATATGAATTTTTTTATTGTAGAATTTTGTTAACTAATTATTTTTTATTAAATGTTATTATTTTTTAGATTCCCTTTTAATTGCACTTTTTTTTTGATATAGATATCATTGTTCTTGTGATAAATATGTATGTCAAATAGTAATATACACATTACAGTTTCCATTGAGGCAGAATGAGTTTGTGAGCTTCATCTCTTATCAGTAAAGCACCAATATTCATTACAATGATTGCACAAGATGCAGTCTGCAACAGATTTTCTAAAGGTGTGTGTGTGTGCGTGTATATGTGTGTGTAAGACATATGGCCTCTATTAGTATCAGAGTGACGTCAGCGCGTGTGTGTGTGAGCGTTTATAGTGATGCAGGAATGTGTTTGGTGTCATGTGATGTTTTAACAGCTCTGTTCTCCCGATGTAAGACTGCTATCCAGCAGATCCGGTTACCGCAGTAAAGCACCATCGTTAGAGAAGACATTAGTGAGCATGGGTCCAAACGCTGTTCTTCTTTGTGCTTTAGCAGTTTTTCTTTCTTGATATTGGCTTTAAGAAGAACATTTTAGTCATCTTCAGCTGCATTTGAGCAATTACATGCAATTGTCAACCTTATGTTTTCACCAAAATATTTAAACTCTAAGGTTTCTTGTGTAGGCTTGGGTTTTACTGTGGTCCTCAACATAACGCGCTTCACCTTTTGTGCGCCTTGCAGTTTTGCAAAATTTTTTTTGCAGGGCTCAACAGCGTGACCATTTCGCTTGCATTTTCGACTAAAAATAGACGTGTGCGAACTAGAAAATTTATTTAGTCGCACATGTGCGATCTTTCTTTTTTAATAAGCTTGATTGATGACTTAATTCACTCGGCCACGGTAAAACAACATGCTCTTTACACTAAGTGTGACTGTAGCACATGCTGACGTGATCAACATCAGCACCCCTCTACTGGTTTATTTACTTCAAGCCAAGCGGTCTTTGCATTGTTTTGTATACGCTGCTACGCAACGCATGGCACCGAATGGCAATAGTATCAGGATGCAGCCTTTGATGCAAGCTGAGATTGCATCGCTCAGAGATGCAATGTCAGACACAATGAATGCACTCAATGGAGCTAGTGACATCACTGTGATGGGTAGGGTTAGAGGTGGGGCTAGGCAAGCACATTAAAAAGCATTAGATGCAGCTCAGCCAGACCCCTCTCCCGAATGGCGGCAGAGCCACACAACCTGCGAGCCTCATAGAAAAAGTCGACTATTCGGCCATGGATGGCATATCGTGGCACATTTAGTGCCACTAGACATTTTTGGGTTGTTATAGTATTGTTAAGGTGAGCTCTTTAACTTCAGGCTTGCGTTGTTGTGGTTTAAGTGGTGTTTTGTTGAGCTCGGCAGGTTTTTTTTGCTGTAGTTTACAGATTTCGTCATTAAACAGCATATGTGGGTTTTATTGAGCAGTTAAAGATCCTGTGCGTGTGTGTGTGTGTGTGTGTGTGTGTGTGTGTTATGTCCATCTGTTTTTCACACTAATTAAATTCCATAGAAACTAATTGTGGGACTGAAGGAAGCAAGTGTGTTTTGTAAACAAGTTGTTTGGAAAACAGCAAATTTTTCTGAAAGTTTTCGATTATTAACATTAGTTATGGTGTGAACAAACAATGAGCAATGCTTAGGCCTAGATAAAGTTATTTTCTGTTTTTATTTGTTAAAGGGTCACGAAACACCAGAACACATGTGTTGAGCTGTTGACAGTCATACATGTGTCCCACACTGCTAAAAACACTATTAGGACACCTATATTTCACTAAAAAGTGTAAATTGGTTGTTTTTGCGTACTTCCGGTTTGAAACTAATTTTGAAGCTGCGTCACGGTCATGAGATAATAGCGTGTATTCCAGCGTGCAGACTGGACGTCTGTGCCAGAGTGAGTCTTATTACGTCTTACAGTGTGCTGCATTAATGCATGAGTAAAGCTTGGTTTAAACCAATCAGCGCGCTCTATTGTGCAACTTCATTAATATTCATTACTGTCACAGTGTTTAGACGACAGAGACGCCACGTTGTGTTGGCAGAACAAGCGTGAAGTGTTGCTTTTATAGTTTGCTGCAGTGAAGTTTTGTTTTCATTTTCTCTCTGTGAGAGCGCAGCTGGAGTCACGTGTGGATTAACAGTGTACGCAACGCGCGACAACAATAACTTACGTGTCTAAGGAGGATTATTGTTTACCTGAGAGCTGTTCTCATCTGCAAACACTGAGATCCGGATTCGCTTGTAGTATTCTCTTCATAAAGACGCGGCTCTAGTTGCTGGTGATTGTCCTGTCTCTACAGATTTGGTAAGTGAATGATCAGTGCTCTTTGTTTATTCAGTTTGTTCATATCGAACAAACTATTGCACCGAGTGTAAACATGTTAGCACCACAACCAAACTTTAACCTTGTGTAGGATTTTCACCGCATTTTGTGACCGGAATAACACACGCGGCTTTCTGACGCTACCTGCCGTGTGCATCTAAGTTTCCGGGAAATGCGGAGGTTTTTTTCTCTCATTCACTGTGCGGTATCAAACACTGCATGAAAAATACACGCTTAGAGCAGTTCCTCGAATCAAATATCTCGTTTGTCGCGAGGGGCATGAATGAATTCCCTGAATGAAAGAGCCGAACTGCAGTTAAAGTCCACCATTTAATAATTTAACAAATAATTAGACTACAGATGTCCATGTAAACACAGTCACTTTCTCCCCTGTGTGTGTGTGTGTGTGTGTGTGTGTGTGTGTGTGTGTGTGTGTGTGTGTGTGTGTGTGTGTGTGTTTTGACTCTGAAAGTCAGCGCGCCCAAATAGGCACTCCCACACCAAGCCTCTTTTCTTCCTCCGACACTCCCCCCTAAACAGAGCTGGACACGCCCACTTTTCTGACTTTTTCCAAAGTAGAGGTGTGAAAACACCCTGCTGAAACGAGGGGGTGTCATGGCCCTTTAATAGAGTTAATTAGCAACTGGGGAAATTTGCTGCCAAGTGTGATGCGGCTGGGATGAGAATAAGTACCTCTGAGTCCAAGGCCATGGTGCTTGACCGGA